GTGAAGCGGATGTTCCAACCGGCGATTTATTGAGACACGCCATGTGACAGACACCATCGTCAGTCTCTTGTGGCATAAAAGTGTCCAAAAAAACGTGGAAAAAACTCTCAAACAAATACTCCCTCCGACAAACTCGCCTTCCCCACCGCGTTCCATTCGAGAGGCGTTCAAAGACTGCCTCCGAAAAACGTAAATTAATGATAGCTTCAATGGCAGAAGCGATCGAAGCCGGTCTGCTGCTTTGTTCCACTTACTAACCGAGCAAGTGCTCAAGTTGGCGACGTGTGTCGGCTTTGGGTGGGCGATGTATTCGTGGGAAGCGTAAAGTTGCGCAACGCAATCAAGTCAGGCTGGTACGAGTGCGTGCGCAGACGATGAAGGTGACATTACTAGTGTTGCAACTCCGAAACAAAGAGAACTGCGTTTTGTTTTAACGTACACTTTATTAATTCTTTAAAACTCTCAAACAAATACTCTCTCCTGCAACATACACACAAATATAAGAGCTTACTTTACACTCGCCTTCCCCACCGTGTTCCACTCGAGAGGCGTTCAAAGACCGAGTCCGAAAAACGTAAATTAATGATAGCTTCAATGGCACTAAGAAAATCGAAAATAATGCACCCAAAACATAAAATCCAGCGAGGAAATCACAAAATAAATTCTATTTGGGCGTTTGTGAGCACACAAGAAACTAATAACCCTTTAAACATCAACATAGACAATTCTGAACCAGTTCAGTCTCCTACACTGGAAAAGGTGTGCTTTTCACCTCTATTCTTGTCCTTTTCCTTCTCTTCCACAAATTGTTTGAAAAATAAATCACACCCTCGAATTTGCCCTTGGTCTTGCCATTCCATTTCCAACCCTATTGTCAGGAATGAACTCAAGCCTTCTTCTATGGACATCTGTTAACCGATGGTAACAGCATTGCGGGAACTCCCGTTGCAGACGATGGGAGGGTGACTCACGCTATTAAGGCAATTGTCTGGGTTTATTTGGCGGAACGATTGGGAGCAGCAGAGAGAGGCCGACCAGACTGAATTTGAAAGCCAAAATATGGAAGTCTAATCGAAAGCAGCCCGACTGCAGGCAGGAGGTTCCTCTTTTCAAAAGTCGAAATGAATCTGGATGGCGTTTGAACACACGCTTACAAATTGGCCACAAGACGTTTCCATTTATCCAAAGGTCAACGAGGTATTTCATTTTCTAAATATGGCTCACGTGATCCCGGTTCAGGCTGGAGCTAGACGTTGGCCGTTCGTGCCGACTAAATATAGCACGGTGCAATTGTGCGGAAGACTTACTTGGAACTGAGACATCGTCTCAGGGAATACGACGCTCCTCCTCCGCAGGTACGGGAACATTCGCTCCACGAGCCCCAGGCGTCCCACAGAGTGTCTCGGTCCTCTTCCGAACGGGCCGTCCGTGAGCTCTGCGCATTGAGAGGTGGGATCAGGAGATCAAATAGATGCGGGGTCACGGTTCTGGTTCACAAAGCGTGCTCCACATCAGGCGTGGCGTGCGCTCGCCCTCTCAATGGCATGGTGCTATTTTTGGCAGCACGGCTCGGAATATTACCGCGGCATCCAATGTCAATATTATGAGAAGATGATTTGGTTTTTTTTTTTTGCAACTCAGAGGACAACACGCATCTCAGATGGCAAGTGACGGCCCAAAAAAACGATGATCCTCCCCACGCGTCTATCCATCATAAGGCCCAGTTTTTTCTATTCCTGCACGGGAAGCGTGGCGGTGGGGGCATAGGGGATGGGGCAGGGGGGGGGGGGGGGGGGGGGTGGGCTTCATTTTCGAGTGATTTAACGGCCCAGATTCATCAAGCTGTAAAACAAGGTGTTTATTTTGAAAAAGCTGGCATGGTCATGTGATACGCATCACCTTCGCCTGACAGCGTGCGTGTTGCGTTTCTTTCTTTTGGCCCGACAATGCCGCTGGCAGTCGATCGAATGACGCCGGAGGGTGAGAAGCAAGGCCGGCTAAGCTGGCATGCTTTAAAAAGCCGCTGCTCCCTCTGAAAGACGGGCGAGAGAACCTGTGTTGTCTCTTTTTCGTAGAAAAAAAAAAAATACTCTGCGAAATGGAACTAACGCTGGGACAAATCATCCACCTCCCATGGCAGTCTGAAAAGACTCGCGGTGCAAACACTTTCAATTAAATAATCTGCCATTCAGTGGAGGATTTAAGGCCGTGAAAAGAAAATGGATGCAAAGGAGGTTAAAAAAAATGAAATAAAAAAAGCCCCCTCATATCATTTCACGCAATAACCGAAACACAGACGGCCTTTCTGATGTTTGTGGACCATCAAAGCATATTTGCAGAAATACTTTACACCACCGATCCTGCAATGGTGGGGTAGGGGGTGGGGGGGGGGCATTTGCATCAGAATTATCCCCCCCCTTCCCCTGAAGTTGGACAAAATCAGACCTCAAGACTTCAGCCCAATGATAACCTTAAGAATGAACTCCACCTTTGGTTTTTTTTTTTCAAGAAGCTGCCAGTGTCAGCAAGAGAGGAAAATATGACAACCGTCGCACGGGAAATGGAAGATTTGTGACATTTGCGACGTGCCATTTCTGTTCTGGCTGCTCTGGACAATAAATCGACAACAACAATAACAACGGAAGGAGAATAAAATTCCGACCAGAAAGCGTTTGGTTTTCTTTTTGCAAGTTGACTTCTCTTCCCACTTGGATGACAATTTCAAAGTGTTGCCGTCGCCGCTTTTGGCTTGCCCCCCCGCCCCCCATCACTCACATGATCTCTTTTGCGCCAGATTCCTTTTGCCGAGCCAACCCACCAACTTGCTCATAAACGGACAAATTCAACTTGCTGTGTTTGCTGTGGAGCAAAGAAACTGATGTCCAATTCCAAAGTCCATAAAAGTCCATTTGAGAGATCCTGCTGCATTTGAGCCCATTTTCTTTTGGAGAAATCAGGTATGTAAAAACTCTTTTTATTGAGACAGTGGTCTCAAAAAGGGTGCGTGGACTGATGTCAATGGATTTCAGGATGGCCGTCGCTAACAGACGGCCGACGGAGACGGCAGGCCGAGTGATGGCGCTTCTTTCCGACTTTGTGTACGGGCCAACTCTTGCATCGTTTGGATGTGCGCTAAATCAACGGACTTGGTCGGGCAGCCTCTTGATTCTCCTCCTTTTGAAAGGCAATCAGGGAATTTTCGCAGTCCACTGGCAAGCAAAGAGAGCCGGAGGCCGAACGAGGCTGGTGGAGAGAGGAGAGGACAAGTGGGATGGAAGATGGAAGAGGACGACGACGACGTTTTGGCACCGGGCTCCGCTATTGTTCTCCACGAAAGCGGTAAAATACAAAGCGCCCGCGGGGATTTGGAGGGCAAATAATCAAACGGCTCGCATGTCCGCTTGGCGGCTATCTAATCCGTCTCATCCGTCCCGCTCGCCGTCGGAGCACATTCGGGGGACGGACTGGGCTCGTTTTGCCTTGTCAAATGAGAAAAACAGAAAGGTGGCCTCACTTCTCATGTACTCAATCAAGCGGAAAGGAGGAAATGAGCAAGAGCGCCGATGCTCACTGATGGACAGATTCAACGCTCGTCACCTGTCAGCACGTAAGGACATTTTCCTGGACGGGGGAACGAGAAACCCGACTCATGCACCTTCTCTTGAATACACACACTGGATGGCCTTGTCAGGTTGGCAAGACATTGGATAGCCGCACATCTGCTCAATGCCTTGTCTTCCGCATCACCGCATCCTAACCGACGGGGGTTCAAAGGGGGGAGGAGAGGGTGGCCCATTTGACCTCAGAGGAAGCAAGGGACACTTTTCAGCCACCGCGGGCAATCTGAAAGGACCTCCAGGCGTGACCGCGCGCCGCCCCGGAGTAACGTGCCACACGCGTTAAAACAAGATCACGTGAGATTTTTGGACGCTCGTGCCGATATGGTCAAGAAAAGAGGGAAAAAAAAAATCGGAAAAGAGGCTTGAAAAAAAAGTGAGATGTTACAGTACCAGGATGAGAACAGCCGTCAGCAGCAGTTGGCAAGCTGTTGGGCCCTCCATGACTTCATGAGGCCTGCTGAAGCTGTCTGCGCTCCTCTTTGGGTCAATCTATGCGTCTGGTCCGCCTGTAGCTTTCTCTCTGCGTCTGGGCTGCTTAGTCGCGACTTGGATTCAGGGGAGGGTATGGAAGGAGGGAGGGAAGGAGGAAGGGAGGAGTGTATATTTGTATGTGCAGTGTGAGGACGGAGGTGGGAGCCAATCAATAAATAGGCTTCGTTTAAACAAGGAGTTGGCGGGCAGCCGCAAGTTCGCACGTTTTGCTGTATTCGGAGGTTGAACTGACTGACTTCATTCTTCTGAACGGTCAAGTGTCAGTCTTGTCTTCGGCTTGTGCCCGGCTTCCCCTCTTTGCTTACCTCGGTGTAGTTTGCATTGAGAACGTCTGTCAAAAATACATCGAAAGAAAAAGCAGAGGCCTATTTGAAGCCTCTGACTGTGCATGAACGTCATACACAAAAAAAAAAAAAACATCTGGGGGCGGGGAGGGG